AATTTTCATTCTTGTGTGGTTATATGATTAAATTGAACATTCATTTAGGGTCTTTCTGATACTCGAGTAAAAGGAAATGGCATAAAAAGGCCACTCAGAATACGATGATCTAACGATGCACTCTTGACAGTTAAGTCTTATCAGCTGCTACACCGCATTTCATCTTTCGTTTGGTATACACAACTCTTGTGTTTTTCCTTAAATGAATCCTTCTTTACATCCGTGTTAAGTTAACATGATACACTTTGTTTCCTCCCGCTAGTATCTACTGAATTTATATAAAATCTATGAACTAAAATAATAATTTAAACAATTTTTCAAATGATCTGAAGCATTTATTTACTACAACCTTCAACGCTGCAAAGCTAATCGTGAAATTATTTATCTAGTTTAAACATATATACATCAATCAGAACGGAATGTGCATCCATAGATTCTAAAGGAATATGCTTGATAATAATAAGCAAATAATAAGAAAATGTTATGAATACAAATAAATATCATTATCATATAGATTAGAGAATTTTAATTCGTACTTTATAGAGATTCGTACCCGAGTCCTTGGGTAAACGGCAACCATTGTCTTGCCTGTAAACACCGACAATTGTACTATCTAGACCATGCACATATCACCGAAAAATGATGCAGATTCATCTAAAATTCGAAGTAGTAATTAATTCTCAGCTCATCAGTGTTATTCCAGATTCCTAATACAGAGATCAAAGTATATAGAAAGATGTAATGGAGCCATTTTTTTTCTATTGATCTCTGAAGGAAACATTTAGTTGGACACGTGTACGATTAATTAGATTTACGGAGACATGCGAGTATTTAAATCGCCGTAATGCACGAATTGGCACAGACTGTCATGCGTTTAGCGATTTTTGATTACGGCTACGCCTGTTTAAACTATACAGGATATGGATCAACTTCTGATCTCTATGGAAAACTGTCATTTTTGAAGGTTATCAGCAATCAGTTGGGTAATGGATGTTTGTCAGACGAACTGCATTGTTTTGAGCTTAGTTCAGGCGGGGAATATATTTCATCCGCATTGGACACGCTGGTTTCACATGAAAACTCTCAGTTTAAAAGTGCTAATCGCGAATTTGAAAATTAGTCTACGCTTTTCTACGAGAGAAAACAAACGTAAAGGACTCCAAGTAATTTAAGAAGTAAATTCACTCGTAAAATCATCCAGGGGAAACGATTGTCTGGAGAAATTGACAGACACAAAAGCTTGAAAGCACAAGTTATTTTGAATCAAGTTTTACTTCTTTGATACTGCTATGATTTGTTTGATTTATATGCTTGTATTTGCATGGATTTTTTTTGTTTTAATTCATAGATCAATTTTTTGTTAATGATATAACGGTTTTGAGTTCGGTTATGAGTCTGCACAATATTTGATGTCTCGCTTGAAGGTATAGTCTCGATTATTCTAGGAAATTAAGTACCTAGAATATCATGCCTTATTTTAGTTGAGATTACGAGAATCAATGTGAATTCTCAGATATTTTTACGAGGCCACGTATGATAATGACTTTATTGTGAGTATTTGTTGCAATGGAGTCTAGACTGGAACTAATGTCTCGGTGTGGTGTTGAATAGCCATTAGAAGAACCATTAATTTTGTGAAACTAGGTTTGTATGGCCTGTCAGATCCAATTATACTAGATAGTCGTTTTATCTGTTTGAATTCTGATAGAATTATATCTGACCTAACGAGGGGTGAGAGTAATGATTTATCCCCAGTATAATGTGACGGAAGATTTAGATTGCTCTTTTTTATATTTTTGCAAGGTGGGATAGCTTCACGAGATATATCCTGACATGACGGGACGTCACACATGTTACAAACACAAAGTGGACACAAAGTTGGATGGGTCGAAAGTGGCGTGATACCCAAGAGTTTGGATAAGGAAGGGAAAAAGTGGAGAAGACTCCGACTTACCGGCACAAGGAATTCAAAAGGGAAAGTCGCTGTGGATTTGCACTGAATCAAGACATCAGGTTATGGATGGATACAAGGCATTGTTTTTCGATCTTCAACTCGATGCGATGATGAAATAATTATATCATTTAAAAGATCGGCTATTGGTATAATCATATTTGTATATGAAATTCCTTGAGTAAGAAAATTCAAAAAGGAAGAAGTGTAAATTTAATCGTAACGCAATATTACTTTTGTTTATGAATTTTATTTTTATGAATTTTGATTAAATTTTATCTTTATTTGTAATAGGGGCTCGTGTTATTCTGTTCTATATTTCTGCTCAGATCTTTATCTATTCCACCTATAAGTTCACAATTTATATATTTACTAGTTCGGGGCAAATTACGCCGTCGGCGATCACCTCCAGATAACGATAACCAAAAGCCAGGTAACTCACCCTAACAAAGCTGAGGATGGGTATATCTAACAAAAAAAAAAAAGAGGATTACAAATATACGCCAAAGAAAATGGAAAGTGATATCCCTAGATTCAGTAAATGTTTTTCGTTTTATTTTTATTTATTCATCTTTATCTTCTTTCATAATTATATAAATTACCATGTTTTCCTCAATTACATTTTTCATGGACAGTTATAAATAGAGGAAAAAACTATAATAAACCCAGCGTTTTCATCTTTTATGGCATAATTTTAATTTTATACTATCACCCACATATAAACTCTGTAAATTCTACCTACGATTGCTAACTTGGATAGCATGATTTACGTTTTATTTACTTCCACAATATTAAAACAATCATCTGTCTGAAAACAAAATTATTAGTCTCCTGTAAACCTAGCAATTTTGCTTAATTTATCATCCTTTTTAGCAATTATATTATTGCATGTAAAAAAAATTATTTTTTGCATTAAGTCTCCATAGATGATGGCAATAAGGTGCTAGTTATTCTTATACAAAATCTAACGGAAACTTTGACTTTCTGCAATTTGTAACAATTTATATAATCATGTTATGAGATTCTTTTAAATACACTATTGATATGCTCATTATGTTTAGTTTATTTAAATGTCAGATACAAATATATATGTCTGCATGAAGCATCTATAGTTTCTTTTCTTGCTGTAAAGAAGGTAGCAGAATTTAATTTTGATATTAATATATTAAAACTTTCCTACTACACTAATTGAATGTTTAATTTATGATGTTCTGTTGCACTTAATGTTTTTATACATGTGCCTAAATCAAATATTGAAATGTCTAGAAAAAACGGGTTTGTGTTTTGTTTTGTATCATATATCTTATTTGCACAAAATTAACAAATCAACTAATATAAAGGACTTAACAACCAGTCTAAGATCTTTTCAAAATTATTTTCATTCTTGTTCATTGTTCTTCCTTCAGGTCTAATAATTATTTAAAAGTCACACTAACACGAACTTTTATTCCTTCTTGATCAACTGTATCGTTTTTATTACATATGCTGCTCTATGCAAGCATTATACTTGACATTTAAAAGAATTTGTTTCCTAAAGTGGTCATTTTTAAAATAATGCCGTATAGATTTATCTGGATGTTCTAACTGTTTGCCAGATAATCAGACACAAAATGTTCATTTTCTTCGCATCTACGTTTTATGTTTTGTTTGTATGCATGTGTATTCCTTCCTTGTTGACCATACGAGTATGAACTGGTCACTACATCTATTTTCTCCAATGTCACTGTAAATATCACATACCGATGAAGGACAACGGATAAAATGGCTCAGTGATATTTCCGATTCTTGACATTATGCGGTATGTTAAAGTCCTTAAAATGAAGACCTTCTTTACATATTTTTGTACATTAGCCGCTCTTGGTTGTAAGTATTTCTACAGGAGTCTGAAATTTTATCAAAAAAGTACGACGAAATTTCTGAGAACATGAAATCACCTTAACGGTATTATAAATTGACAGACGGAATGCAACGGTGACCACAACCCTCCGCTCCATTCGACTTTTCTCACGCGTCTTTTATCGCTTTAGAATCGTAAGAAGACTGAAAAACTACACATATCCATTCAGAAAACAGTAACGTACCAAAGCATCACTCTTAGACGACCATTACAGCAAATAGCCCATTTCTACCGCGGGCTAAGTAACGTCATGAAACTAATTTTAAAAGATAAAATATGGGCTCTGTAAAACATGTTCAGTTTTACATCATGGCATCATGATCTTACTTGGCAATTTCCTCCAAAATTATGCCATATCTATCATTCTGCACCCCAGGCATGTCCTCAAAACACTGTACCATGCGTTTCTGGAACATTTCTTGAGCCAATTTAATACCAAACGGCGATATAAGTTGTTAACAACTGGCTTTCCCCATCCATGTGTGTTTGCTAAAAACCATGATTGGAATCTAGTTTGGAGAAAACCTTAGCTCCAGCAAACCTTGTTGTCATATCTTCAGTTGTAGAAAGTTGATAATGCTCTCGCTTGATTCAACTTTCTTGGATCAAGACAAATTTGTACTTTTTTCGACTTGGTTTTTTTCAACAACTACTAATGAACTTACTCATTTTTGGTTCATCTACGTATTACATTTTTCCGTTTCATCTCTTCCAAAGTTAATTTAAAGCTTTTCGTAAAGCTGTGGGAACCTTCTTTTGTGGATTGATGACAGCTTTCACACTTTTGTCAATTTCAAATATTATATTTTTGTTTCAGGCATCACAGACCTTTGAAGATATTGGGAAATTCTTTCACGATATAATTATCCTTATTCTTGTGATCATTGAAAACTACTTCTCTCCCTCTCTATGTGTCTCTGATTTGAATTTTTGACGTAGCTTTAACAATTTTTCAGTCATATCGCTATGATGTGTGCAGTATGGCAGTTTATAGTGATGTCTAGCACTGTGGCATCATCCCACAGACATGTAGCATGATGTCCCACTCAGGCACATTGCCCTGACACCAGGCTGACCAGTCCTAACACTAACCTCTTACTGCTGAGCGCAATGCGAGGCAGCTGTTAGTACCATTTTTCTAAGTCATTGGCATGACTCTGCAGTGGATCGAACCCACGACCTCCCGCATCCAAGGCGGACGCTCTAACCACTAGGCCACCAGAGTTGTGAATTTCATCAATTATAGTAATTATTATAGCATTCGCCTATCTATAATTTCATGAATTATAGTATTTATCACAGAATTCAACTGTCTTTAATTTAATAAATTATAGTATTTACCTGTTTTTAACTTCATCAATTATATTTATTACAGTATTCGTATGTCATTAATTTCATCAATTATAGTATTTATCACAGCAGTCACCTGTCATTAATTTCATTAATTATAGTATTCTACAGTATTCACCTGTTTTTAATTTCATCAATTATAATACTTCTTACAGTATTCACTTGTCATTGATTTCATCACTTATAGTATTTATTACAGTATTCACCTGTCATTATTTTCATCAATTATTGTATTTATTACAGTATTCACGGTCATTAATTTAATCAATTATTGTATTTATTACAGCTTTCATTATGCCCATTTCTTTATTGAAGTGTTTTAGAATAACTGTTTTCTTTTGTGTCTGACTTATCTGGGTTTATTCTTCCACTGAATGCTAATGTCTTTTCATCTACTTCATCTTTAATTGGTTTCATGATAAACTTTCTTTTGTTTTTATACCTCTGGGTACTTTTATTATTACGCATTTTTCGATCAACATATTCTTTTTATTCCCCACCACATAGTTCACTTTTGAAAGTTTATAAAATTTTATTATTTATAATTTTACATTGTTGCATAAGTCAGCAGATAAGTCATAGATCGATCTCATATATCTAACGTTACTATCACGGATTTGTTAACGTAATTATTTGGTTATTTATGTGATTTTTTTGCATCTGAAACAATGAAAAAAAGTATCAGTTACCTTATTCTTCCAATTAAGTTTTTATTCTTCCAATTAATTTTTTAATTCCTCGATAGTTCTCTTATATCTCATTATTAAATTCTGTTACAATTTGTATACCACATTTTAATGAATGTCTCTTGGTTATCCTTTTGTTCAAAATGTTTTCTTTTTCCTGGTCTTTCTCTTACAGTTTGCAAGGCTTTAAAACATTAGTCAGGCTGCATTAAATCTAAAATATCACGAACATCTAAACTCTCTTTCTCGCTGTCGTCAACTTGTTGCAGTAGCGCTTCAGTTTTATTAGCTGTGTTTGTGAAACTCTGATTTACAACTCTTAATTCGTCTTGTTCTCTGTTTTATACCTTATCCTCCTCCTCCTAAGTGTGGGTATTTGTGTGTCAACAGGTGTCTGTACAAATTGACATGTGACTGTATCAGATGATTGTACATCATCATCATCATCACCACCATTAATCCCTTAACCCAAGAGGTTGATGGGGCACTACAGTTCACTTTACAACCAGTTCTTTATATCTTTCCCTGTTCTATACTGCCCTTTGGGAATCAAAAAATCCCATGCCTGTCCAGTCCTTAATGTTGTCTTACCAGCTCTTTTTCTGTCTACATTTTCTTCTGCATCTACGCAGTGTACCTTGCAAGACTTTTGCAAAACCAGATGATCTATTACAGTGGTCAATGAGGTCTTCACAGAATCCGATGGCTCGTTGGATCCTGTTGTGGACTTCATCGTTGATTACAAGGTTAATGTATGAGATGCCCAAGATATTGCTGTAACATCTCATTTCGATGGTTTGAATTCTTCTTTGTAGATCTGAGCGTCCATGTTTCACAAAAATACAGAAAGATGGATATGACAATCGAGCGCATCAGCTCTATTTTGGAATCAAAAACAATGTTGGTATCTTTCCATATTGGTCTCACACTTGTTATTGCTGCTGTTGTCTGGGCAATACTGCAAAGTAGTCCTGGTTTGGATCACACATCTGTGATAATTGAACCCAAGTACTTGAAACATGCGATTCTTTCTTGCTTCTGTCCACTGATCTTTATTTCTGCACTAGTGTCATTGGTGTTGTTTGTCATCAATTTGGTGTGGTGTTTATAACTTTTAACATAGCTTTAACAATTTTTCAGTCATATTGCTACGATGTCTGCAGTGTGGCAGTTTATAGTGATGTCTAGCACTGTGGCATCATGCCGCAGACATGTAGTATGATGTCCCACCCAGTCACATTATCTTGACTCCAGGCCGACCAGTCCTAACAGTAACCTCTTAAAGCTGAGAGTCAAGCGAGACAACTATTATTACCATTTTTTAAGTCTTTGGTATGACTCGACCGGGGATCGAACTAACGACCTCCCCCATCATCAGATTGTTTTTTTTTTGGTACTGATCTCCATACCGTATGCTATTTAGGTTGTATCGAGGCGCTCAACCAAGTCAGCCAGTTCTTAACAAATCCTCTTAAACCATCACTATCATCTGCGAAGCAAAGGCTGGTGATTGTTCTTCCTCTGATGCTGAGAGGGTTCTTGTGGTCATGCAAAGGATCCTCCATGATCCTTTCCAGGAAAATGTTGAAGAGTTTAGGTGACAGTATACATCCCTGTCTAACTCAAACTGTTGTTCAAATTCATTTCCCTCTACTGCCATTGATGATGACAGCACGTTTTGTCATAGACGTGCTCAAGAACCTCCACCTAGTTTGAGCTGATGTTGTACTTTCTCATAGTTGCCAATAAGGCTGCATGTCGTACTCTATCATAAGCCTTTTTTGAAATCTATAAAAAGACACTAACAGCTATGTTGAAAATGGTTGTTAAGGACTCTAGGTCGGTGTCTTGGCTGTCCAGGGTTATCAAAGTTGCAAATTTACCACATATGATTGTTTGATATTTTAAACCTTTCAATTTTTCAAAGTCAAATCTGATTCATGGTTGGTTAGACTGATCATTTTGAGGTGGAGGCGAAAAGTTGTCATTAATAAATCAGGATCACTTCCAATATCTGTGGGGCTGAGCGGTCTAAAGCGCTCTTTGTTACGGATCACTGCCATCTCACCTCTGTCTGCGTGGGTTCAAGTCTAAGATTCTAATTTTTAGATTCGGCGAATGTGGATATGTGAGAAAGCTTGCCAGTAGCTTCTAGTGGGTCGGTGGTTAACTTCACTTTGTAATGAAAACAATTTTTTAATAGTACATGCTTCCCAGGCTTATTTCAATACAATACTTGAGAGTATTTGGGTGTAATTGTGTAAATCATGCCAGCAGGAATCAAGTGTCAGTGCCTAACGGTAACCGTTATATGGCATTATTTTGAAACTATCAGTCCTAAATACAGGCAATTTAAAAGTTCAGTGCAATTTTACTTTCTTTTCTCCAGACATTCAGCACTGAGAGATTTTGTGCTAATTTAATCTGAGTGTTCAGATAAACTGAATATAAAAGGATTTATCAAATTAAAAGAGCATAGTCAAGATACCCAATTCTGAACAAGCAAAACATGGGACTTAAACCCTAATAAAGCAATATAGAAGGAAAAACATCTAGCATCAGAGATAGCAAAGCACTGATTCAAGGAAGTGAAAGTTTGGTAGAATTCATGTTTGTGAAAACGTTTCTTCTTGGAAGAGATATCCAAAATGAGATGTTGAAAATTGCACAACCATAAAGAACAGTAACTTGTTCAAGCTAGTTATTGCATTTGCCTTTTCAGACAGCAGACAATGAAAGGGAATTCTCAGCACAGAATAATATTCATACATGGAGGATGAGAATTATCATATTAAATTCAGAAATAATCAAGCTGATTAATGTTTATAGGATTCATCAGAGAATCCTCATACAACATAACCATGTGTAGATCTCTAGATGGCAGAACCATTATGGCAACAAAAGAATGACAAAACTAATTTTCATATCATGCAGATGTATTATCAAATTAAGTATATGCTTTGTATGTGCAAAAATTAAATGACATTAAACATAAGGTACTAACTGATCTGTGTAAACTCAAAGCAGGATGGATAAAATTTGTCCTGTTTATGTTTGGTTATTTCTATGCATATATTGAGTATGGTGATATATACTTCAGACATATTAGGCAGTTAGTTTCAAGCCGTCATTTGGTATTTATATTACAAACTGAATGACTATTATCTTGAACACAACATTTTGAAGCAGTGTCACTCACTAATGATGAAACTGATAAAAAAAGACTGTCATTCTGATATATGAATTCTTTACTACACTCCTAATCTCTTTGCCCAGGTTCTTTTTTACCATCTCAATTAGTATTACTGGTACCAATACTTTTAATAAAATTCTAACCTTGGTTTTCATGCAATCTTACTATTTGTGATCTTATTGACAATGGGTAAAATGTACTTAGTTGTGTTGCAAAATCTAAAACTATTCATTAACAAGGGACTAAGTGGGTCAACTTCATGTGTGCAGAAATTATTGCCATATTTCAGAGTGTTGTTAGAAACAACAGATTAGTTGTACAAGTTCGCAAAGTTGTAGAACCAGCAATCGTATTGCCACCACATATTTCATTTAAATAGTATTATTTATCTATGTTCCTATAAGTATTTTCCCAGTGGTATTTATTTCCTAATCTGATGTTCATTTTTTGTGCAATTTTTACATACCAAGAATTCTAATAGTATCTTTAAAAAAACAATGTAATCTGCACCAAATTGAGTTATTTGAGAAGAAATTCATTTTTTAACCCATAAATCACTGTAGCTACGAGTTCTGGCATTAAAGTCTCACATTAAATAACATTTGAGTCAACATGATAGTAATTTAGAATGCAACTAATTTCACTTGTGGTATGTTAAAATCTTAAATGTGATGGAGGAACATGGCTCAAAAATAAACACATCAGATTTAGAACTTGTTCATCAACTATGAATCAAGTATATAATCCGAGTTCAACTGAATTGTTAGAAAAGTTTTAATTTTTTGACAACATTGTAATTAGCTGTCAAATATGGAGTAAGCCTATGTTCTTTCTGCCATCTTGACCAAACCCTACCACAACCACATATCCATGCCAATGACATCACTGTAATAATTGGTATACAACTTGAGATATCTTTTCGAGTATTTTGATATAAATAGAGCCTTAACAGAGTGGAACATCAAGAAAGAGTGACAGATATTTAAGTGTTATGGAG